GGAATTCCATATAGAAAGAATAAATGAGGAAAGAGTGACAAAGCAAATTTATGTTGCAAAAGTGAATGAAAGCCGGATCGGGACGTCCTAGGCGTAAATTTATTGACTAAACTGACGATATATTAAAAATTGGTCAAATTGGGAGCACCCTTATACGACAAGCATGTATGTGTAGGTATATGAATGTAGAGGGGTCGAGAGAGGTGTGTCAGGATCGTGCCAAATGTAAGTTTGTAGTCCTACTCCTACTACCCAGGCAGGTAGGCGTGAGCATCAATGTTATGTTTATGTTATATATGTGTATATTTTTCACTTTATTAAGAAAAAAACAATCCTTTACAATTTTTTATAGTTATGAGGTTGAAAAATAACACGAACTGATATGGTTAAAACTTTTATTTTTATTAAAAACATCATTCCTCACATTTTAATCTTAAAACTAATATTAGACCGATATTTGGTTATAATTTACAAACAATCAAACAATGATTAATCATAAATGTCTTTTGTCTAAATTTCTGTGAATATATTAAAAAATATTTAGTTAATAAATAACAAAATATATCTACATGCAACTAAAATAAGTATTGTTAAACAATTTTACCAAAAATAAATTTAAACTCATTGAAATATGTCCTTTATTTATAAAATAAAGGGAAATATCACCATTCGCATCCAACTTCGAACAATGATACTAGTGCACTTTTTTAATAAAGACAGATGAAATAGAATTATTTCTCGCTAAATATAAACACATCGAGCGCATTACTTATTAGTAAGTCTTTTATTATATTTAACCTTAAAAATAAAATATATAATTTATTTTGCGTTATCTAATGTAAGTATTGAAGTACAATTGAAGTTACAACGTTGAATTTACATTACAAAAATTATAATAAAGAACTTAACTAAAATAATAATTAAAATTATAATATTAAAGATTAAAACTAATTATATACAACATAAAAGAAGAAACTATAATATAGAAAATCTAAAACTAAAAATTTTGTAAGTTAAGTAATTTATTATGGAAATAAATCATATTTTCTATAATCTAGAAACATTATGTCTATACGTTTTTACATGTTCGCAATTTAGATCGTACGTACAATTTAGAACATCAATGATTATTTTAAATTTTTTCTTTATTGGCTCGTGACAAATCGTCCTCTGTCGTCATTGTTGTGGGATTTGACTTAATCGTTCGGCAGGTAAATTGACTGATATGAATATTATTTTATGTCGATGCAATATAATAATTTAAACGCCGTCTTTTATTTTAATTATCAGAAGACCGGTAATGCTTTTAACATTACAAATATTCCCTTAATCTACTTCTGGTAAGCTTAAACGCTTGTGTTATAAGGCGTTAACGACAGTAGTCGAATGGCGGAATAGAACCCACAACCTTGAGTTCAAGGTGAGAAAAAGGTTAAGATTCATCAAAAATTATTATAAGTAATTACTTGACAACAACAACATATAAACCAATGCAAGGAGATACCGCGTTCATTCATCTTAAAATAAAAAGCAGTTGCTTTAATAACCTCTTTTTGAGGTCTATTATATTTCAATTATTTAACACAATTTATTAAAATTGTTTTTTTAATTTTTCTGTATATTGATACTTACTAAATTATATGAATATTTATTTTGAATTCTATGTTTCCCCGTTATTCTTTAAACGGTATGACAACACCAGGAACACCGATAATAATTAGGTTGTTAAATTCAATTTACACATAATTGATTTATATACAAGGATGGTGACTTTTTTTAATTATTTTACACAAACATGCATAATATAATGTGCTATACAATGATTTTATTTAGGGGCCGATGTATGCAAGATCAGCTATATTTGATATCACTCTTTGATTATAAATGTCAAATCAAGTGCAAAACGCAGTGATTCCAAGAGAAATATTCTATTTATTTATATAATATTGTATAAAACTATTTCAGTGCACGGTTGAGTTAATAATAAAAATTCCATAGTTATTTTGAAAGTATAAATTAACCTGTAGAATCTTATTTACAATTGTATATATATTATTATTTATTTATTGGTTTCGATCTTTGGTTAGATCTTTTGATTTTCTAAAATATTGGAAGTTAATTATATAAACGATATTTATATAAATGTTTAATTGAACAATTATGACGCATAAAACCAAAGATTTCCTAATCATTATACTATACTTTATAGTTACTTTTGAAAAATAAAATATATATATATATATATATATATATATATATATATATATATATATATTAAGTTATGCTAACGAAAATTATTTTATAATTATAATAAACTAAGTTTTAATATTTTTTTCAATTCATTAAACGAAATGACCGAACCAAACAGAAATATATATTTTCTCACAGAAATTAGGTATTTAATTATGTCAAGCCCAGATATCAAACTTATATTTTAAATATTATTAGTATAATATAATTAAACGCAGACGAAGTTTTTGGCATCTGTTACATTTAATTTCAAATTTTGCGTCTTGCAATATGTGATCCTCTTTCTACCATATTAAATTAAAAATCAATTTATTGAAGTAAAAGTGATACACGAGAACGCCACCTAATATTAAGGGCAGTTCTGGCTCATACACAAATACACCTAAGGCTGTTTTCGATTAATAAACTACATGCAGCTGCGTTATCACTATTAAGGACCATGGCAGGACTGGCTTATAATAAGTTTAAATGAAATAATATGTCTCATCCTTCATGCTAGAGACATTATCCGCTGGCGCATGGCTCTATCCAAATAAATAAAAATAACAAAATCCTCCAAATCGAATTTAGGTCAGTGTTGGCAGCCTCAAAGGAAACTAGCCATCTGCACTACAGAGGATTATAGTGTCCGAGCAAGCACAGATGAATTCTCTATAACCTCAGTCTGAAGTCTAATGTTACGGCAATACGACAGGACCATGGAGAGATCAGGAGCGTAATTAACGGATTTACTTGCTTTCTGATGCACGATGATAAACACCGCTAACTTTCTGACTCCAGGCTGCAGCTGAAAATTTTGCGAAGAAAAAACTTATTAACTGATCTTTTGGCTCGACCTGGGATTCGAACTCGAGACTTCATGGTCAGCAACCGCGTATACTATCACCAGACCAACGGAGGCAGCCAACACGTAAAAGTTATAATAAACTGTAATAAAAATATTTGGCTTCTTTATTCACATATGGCTATCCTCTTTATTAGGGGATAATTAATAATGTCCTCCAGACCAAATTTCGGCCACGGCGGCCTGCCTCAACAGAGGCTAGCCATCGGCGCAGGACAGGATTATAGTGCCCAAGTGTATGCGCAAGCATAGGACACTCTCTATTCCCTCACTCTCATAGTCCGATGGGACGGTAAACCGACACGACCGGGAGAGAGATCAGGCGCAGGACCAACGGCTTTACGTGCTTTCCGAGGCACAGGGGTGAGACACCGCCAACTTCCTGACTCCGGGCAGCTACTGAGAATTTCTTGACAGAAAAACTCAATAATTGATTTTTTGGCCCGACCCTGGATTCGAACCCAGGACCTCATGATCAGCAGTCGCACTAATATAACCACCAGACCAACGAGGCAATCCAAGGGGGAGGGGGGGGAATTATGGGTGTAATCGCCTACCAGTAACGACCTTTAGTTATCTGAACTTTTAGTTAGTTACAGCTAGTTACCGTTTAACTTACATACAGTAGTAGATAACTTATTGAAAGTTCACTGTTAAACAAAGACATCTTCCAAAGATTAACCTAATCATAGATAATGTTTGCCAAATTTACCGTGTAGTGGCGATGTATAAATTATCAATACCCCATTTTATCGTCACATGTTTTTAAGAGTAAGAGAGGGAAATAAGACTGAAGCATTCAATATGGCAATGCAGTAAGTAATGTGAAGTAATGTGAAGTAATGTCAATTAAATCAAATTAAATTGAAGTGAAGTGAATTTTAGTGACGTAAAGTGAAGTAATGTGAAGTTAAGTGAAATAAAGTGGAGTAAAGAGAAAAGTAAATGAAATGAGTGAGCTTAATCTCGAGACGACGTAGTTGCATTACATATTATGGAGATATTTTGATTTTGTGACCCTGGTTGAAGCTGAAAGCGACTTACATAATGAATTAGTCGGTAAGAGTCTGAAATAACTTGCCTATTTATCCTAAATCAGCCAGGTATCAATGTCGTTTACGCTACGTAAAAAAACGGGTGTCAATAAGCTGTTAACTGGCTATATGGTTAATGACGATGATAACGATAAACGATCTGATCGACGAATCATGGGTACCATCAGTCGAATTAAAAATTAAACTCTGTAAAACTATTCAAAGTGTAATATATCAATGTGTGAAATGGACGCTTTTATTCCAATACCAATTTTACTATGCTTTCAATTTATCATACTTAAATGACAGTTTCAAATTCAGATAAGATGACATGAAAATTTAACATTTTACTAACAAGAGTACGTGTTCTTAGAAATACTTACATATTCTTGATATTTAGTGCTTAATCGATTACATATCGCATTCTACGATCTACTTTTCGCCTTTCTGTCCCAATAGATATTGATGTGAAATAAGAAGATATAATAATTCCCATGCGGATCTGAGAATATATTACCATAATTAAATAACATCTTTATATAAATTTAATAATAAAAAAATACCACAAAATTTTATAAAACTTTAAATGTTCTCATTTTATTACGAAGAGATTTCAATAAATTTTATTTTGTCCGAGCAATATTCTATACACACAGTATGATTTCGTTATTCTTTTATATTGTAATACTTCATAATCTTATATTTGAGTAACAAAATAAACAACAATAACTTTTTAAACCTTCAGATTTTACATAATGTTAACAAAAACTTCGGCTGCATATTCCAATAACTTTACAATCTAGTGATTATTCATGAAACTTATTTAAGTTTTTTTACATAATGGCGCGCATCCAAAACGCACCGACTATGTGTCAGCTAATATATACACAAAGAAGGGCTGTCGTTGGACGCGAGTACCCGGCGACACCGCCCCGCTGCATTGCTAGTGGATTTTCACCTGAAAATGGAACGAAAATTATCTTACAATAGTCGGAGTAGAGCACGGAGAATACTTGACTAATATCGGAATGTATAAATATCGATTTAGGTTTATGTCTGCTAATTTATTTACAGGATTACAAGTGGATCCCTGAAGATTCAGGAATTTTATGAAAGCTACACTTTACACAAATATTATTAAAATTAAATATATAGACCAGCTAAGCTCCATTTTTTACGTTTAGTTTTTTATTATTATAGATATTATCGGTAAGGTTTTAAAGTTTAACATGTATTTGCTGTAAATCAGTGTATTTCAGGTGCATTGGCGATCTCGTAATCAAAGGGGGATCTCGTTTTAGTATGAGATAGTTATGCGTCTATTTGAGACCGGTGCCATCTACTAGGGGAAAATGGAATCGTACATATTTAGCCAATATTTTAGTGTATGATGACGGAGAGCATCAATAGTAGTAGTTTCTCTGCCTTCACTAACCCGCTCACCCAAAATGTTTCAAACATTACGAGTAAAGCCAGCTAGTGTATTGTTGGAAAAGCAAATGTCTAACAACAGATATAAAAAGCATGTTGATAAAAACCCGTATAAAACAATTTCGTTTATTTCTTTGTTCGTTTTATATGCGTTCCTACACAAGTCATCCGATGATCTGTTGTGTTTTGTTTTATAAGGTAGGGTGACAAACGAGCACACATTCCACCTGATGGTAAGTGGTCGTTGTGCCCTATAGACATCTAAATTTATCATCGATTACGAATAAAAAGCAGTTGCGTTGTCACTTCTGAGGACTAAGATGTAATGCCTCGTTGCCAGTAAAAAGGGTCTACAGTTGTCTACACTAACCATACGAAACACAGCAGCATTAAGCTACTATTTTACGCTGGTATTTTGTAAGAGTGTGGTCTTTTCTCGGTCGAGCTGACCCATTCGTGCTATAACTATACTACTAAAACTGCAGCATGACTCTACCACGTATTGTACGTGGTATAGATATGCTGCAGTGTGCACGCCTGGAAAGGTTCCTAACAAAAAGTAGGCTTTGAAACGCATGTCGCACATAATTAGTATGATATTGTATTGCAAAATTCTATTACATGAATGAAAATACATATAAAACTTACCTCTTAGAACATGCACGGCGACGGCAGACGCAGCAAAATCTGCTAGAGAGCAAGTGTAGTTCCCAGAGTCTTTTCGATTTGCGTTTGCTATGTAGAGCCTCGACAGAGCACCATTTTCAGTGGTTTCTGTCTTCACGCTGATAAGATGAGCAGTTATTAATTGAATTAATAATAGAGGTGTTCAATATTATTATTTTATGATATGCGTTATAAAATAAAATGACTATATACTAAAAGTACACTTAATTAAGAATTAGCCGTCAGCCACCGCAGAGTCTACGTCACTGAGGATGCCTCGTATAGAGGCAAAACACCCCGTGTCGTATAATCGACAGTGGTGTTTCTTTCCTAGTGTAGTGGTGTTGTAGTGGTGGAGTAGTTTTGATGTGATTGGTGTTGGGATAATGCACGCGATTGAGGGACAGTGGATTTCATTTTATTTTATTACGCGGATCTTAGCAAATCAATTTTTAATTGCACTCGACGCACATGGCGTTTAGGTTTCGTATGTAGATTAAATACTCTGGTATTCTGTGGGAGCGTGATCATACCCCTATCGAACGAATCCATTTGTGCTGAAGCCATAATATAGCTGCAGAAATATTCGTAAGTATAACATGCAGGAGCTTTAAAATCAGGCAGAGACCTTTAAATAGGATATTAAATCAAATATTAGCAAACTCCTTGAGAACGGACCGGTATTGGTTGTAGAGGAAGTTTTCTGTATAGGGAAGGGCCATCCTCTGATAAATAGTTGAAATAATAAATTTAATGTTATTTGACTAAAACGTAAATAAAATCAATTTAAGACGATTAAGTAGCTTAGAGAAAATATTAACACGAGTTTTATGATCAACCTATGAAAGTCAGTATTAGGTCCGTGGGTCCGTAATTTCAAAATTATTATATTTGGACCACCACTTGTAGTTCTAAGATGAGTATCATTATTATTATAGGCAACAGGACTGATTTTCTTCCTAGGAGTCAGTGTGAGTAAGTATCACAACTTGTTACCCATTTCTGCCCCCAATCAACAGTGTGTGCACTGCTGTGTTTCGGTCAGAATGATTCAGAGCCAGTATGATTACAGGTATTCCATCTTTGTCCTTAGAGGTAACAACGTATCTGTGTTCACTGGTCGCTTACCGTCCGGTAGATTGTTAGTTCATTCATGACTTCAATTTTATAAAAAAAAGTATAATCATTTAATATTCGTATGTTTGTACATCCATACGTTAGTGAACTTCTTTCACATATCTGCAAAAATTAATATGAATAGAATATTTTTATGAAATATAGTTTATTACGCAATATCAATTAAAACTTCTTTTTTTAAACATCCTATATTAGAAAATTTCTCTGACCTTTCTGGGATCTCGTACTTGTTATATTTGCTTGTCATAAATGTATTACGAGACTGAAGTTGAAAGAATACAATAATTACTTCAGATTTCCTTTTTCTAAGAGAATCTTTCTAATTTAAGTTATAATTTTCCTTGACAGTCCCCTTTTGCTTCAATGTTAATGGTTTTTAATAAAACTTTTGAAATTAGTGAAACTTCTACTCTTTCTTAAATTATTTAAGTACGGTGCATCCCCATATAAGAACAAATTATGTGGTAATTGATAGAATAGGGTTATTAAAATTTAATAAAAATAACTTTTTTTTTTTTTTATGTGTATTAAAATGAAAAATAAATGAAATGTTTAAATTTTTTTTTTTCATGATTATATATAATTATTCTTTAATAATTAAAAAAAGATGGTGCGACGTGTACAGCGATCACCAACCTAATGTGGCGATTAAGGGAAATTCTCCCAATGTTAAGCATGAAAAAATCAATGCCCTCAATTACCGGCCGTCCCTATGTACCTGACCGTGATGGCGGTCATGGCAGCAGTGGGACAGGGGGTGCTAATAATCTCAGGGAGAGAACAGGATACCACCACAAACAGGACCCGGCGACGTACAATGGACGAACTCTGCGGAACGACGAGAATATTATAGAATTAGAAGTATAGTTGAAAAATGGAAGATGGCACGTTCCGGGGTTGGGGAAGTTCGAAAAGAGGGAGAGTAAATGCTAATTCTGAAATCAGGCCACCTACTCTATTATCACGAGGGACATGATCTTTTCCAGGGTGGAGTGGGCTTCCTCGTCAATAGAGCCCTCTGTGACAACATTTTAGAAATCTCCAGTGTGTCGGTGAAACAAGATACGTTACGTATTTTGTTTTAAACTGAAAAATATACTGTAAAGATAGTACAAGTTTACGCACCAACTTCGATACTCGGATGATAAAGTTGAAGCTATGTATTAAGATATTGTTACGCGCTCAAGTCGACGATACACTAGCGCCATCTAGTGTCAGGAACGAGAGCGAGGGGAGCATTGGGAAAATGACATCACAAATCACTCAACCGACAGCGCCTAGTCGAAACTCGAACGCTCGGTACCTTGCTCGTGTTTACTCGAACATTCTGGATATTTCTTTGCTAATTTAAATATGTAGGCGCTGCAAGATGCGATCAGAGTAGACTTGAACTCGGCGACACAAGCGAAGCTTCGGAGCGGAATTAAGTGAATTAGTGTGTTTAATCATTAGTGTTTTAAGTTTTAATTTGTGTAAAGTAAATTAAAGTGTTAATTTAGGTAATTTTATCGGCAATTTTTATTGTCACGAACCTCAAGCTCGTAACAATTGGTGTCAGAAGTGGGATAAAATCATGCCGATTTTACCTAAGGAGGAAACGGAGGGTGTCCGTACCCGAAGTCAACGCCAGCAGGAGACGGACCAACGAAGATTTGGTGGTGCAACGCCGCAGACGTCGGAGGACCAGCCACCGGCTGCAGGCCCGTCGGTAGCTCCTACATCTGCAGCACCTGACTTAGGTGCTCTGATGGTGATGCTGCAGGAACAGGCTCGCCAGCAGGCGGAACAGGCACGCCGATTGGAAGAGCAGCTGCGGGGGCGGACAGGATGAACAGGCCCGCCGACAAGAGGAACAGGCCCGTCGGTTGGAAGAGCAGATGCTTCTCATGAAGGACCTTCACGCTACCTTCGGGAAAGAGATAAGGGAGGTGAAGGATAGGGTTGCTCAGCATGACAACCGCCTGTCGGAAGCTGAAACCCAAATCGCGAAAGCTGAAACCCGAATCGAACAAGTGAACAATCGGGTTGACAACGTAATGGCTGACATGAAGAAATCACTGGACGAACTCAAACTTGGAGATGGGGCTACAGCTCCCGTAGTAGCTACAACACCTTCGCTACGTGGGTTCAAGGTGCCACCGTTCGACGGTACCTCTTCCTGGTCGGCCTACAAAATCCAGTTCGAGGCCGTCATGGAGGCGAACGGCTGGAATAAAAGCCAAGCCATGACTGCACTCACCCTAGGCCTGCGCGACCAAGCCTTAACTGTGTTGGAAGCTCTCGGTAAGAAAGTGACTTATGAGCAACTCCTTGAGGCATTGGAGGCGAGGTATGGCGACGCTCACCTGGAACACGTCTTTCGTGCGCAGCTTAAGGATCGCGTGCAGCGCATCAACGAAAACCTGCAGCAGTGGGCTCTAGAGGTGGAGAAGCTGGTGCGAAAGGCATACCGGTCTGTACCTGCGCTCATTGTAGGGAACCTGGTGCAGACATTCATCGACGGCATCCGTGACCTGGAAGTCAGAGCTGCTGTGAGGCTCGGGCACCATGAGACGCTTAAGGACGCCTTGGCCCATGCACTGGAGGTAAAAGCCGTGCGGCAGGATCATCGTTCCCATCGCGTCAGGGAGGTTGCAGCAGCTACAGTCCGTGACCGCAGCAAAGGATACAGCCTTAGGTGTTATGGCTGTGGGGGAAAAGGGCCATCTTCGATCCAGCTGCCCTAAACGAACTATAGAAAGGGAAGTTGATCGATCTCGAGAGGGTAGTGCAGCTAACGACACTGCCTGGCGGCGACAGTATCATGGTTCACCTCACGCTAGGGAGGTTACAGCAGTTACGGTTCGCGACCACAATAAAAGATACAGCCCTAGGTGCTATGGCTGTGGGGAAAGGGGCCATCTTCGGTCCAGCTGCCCTGAGCACACCCTACGAAGGGAAGGTGAACGGTCTCAGAAAGGAAGTGCGGCTAACAGCACCGCCCAGCAGCAGCAGGAATACGACTTTACTATCAGACACTGCAGCGGGAAATCTCACGGCAACGCAGATGCATTGTCAAGAAGACCTTGTCCTGAAGATTGCAACCATTGTAGTAGGCAAGAGAGTAAGAAGGTGGTATCCGTGAGGATGCTCAGGACAGACCACCTCAGCAACGGGTGGAAGGACAACCTACGACATGCACAGCAGGAAGATCCGGACATCAAGCCGATTCTGGGATGGATGAAGGCCCGTGCTACCAAGCCTAAGTGGACGGACGTCTCAGCGATGAGTTCAACCACGAAAAGCTATTGGGCCCAATGGGACAGCTTGCTGATTCAGGATGAATTCCTGTGCCGTAAATGGGACAATGGTCGAAGAGACAGCTGTCGTTTGCAAATGGTTGTCCCTAAAGCTAAAGTGCCGAATGTTCTACAGTTATGCCATAATGGTCGTTCAAGAGTCCATCTGGGAGTTAAACAAACTCTACTGAAGGTCCGAGAACAGTTTTACTGGGTCCATTATCGTGACGATGTCGAGGATTGGTGTCGTACATGTACAAGTTGTGCAGCTGTGCGGGGACCTCGGACACGTAGTAGAGGAGCACCGAAATTGTACAATGTTGGTGCACCACGGGATAGGACAGCCCTTGACATTGCGGAGCCGTTACAGAAAGGCGCAAGAGGGACTCCTAAGATCGTCCATGTGAATCGCTTGGCGCGTTATTATGGGGCCGATAATGCTCGGGACGAGCATGTCTTAGGAGGGGGCAGTGTTACGCGCTCAAGTCGACGATACACTAGCGCCATCTAGTGTCAGGAACGAGAGCGAGGGGAGCATTGGGAAAATGACATCACAAATCACTCAACCGACAGCGCCTAGTCGAAACTCGAACGCTCGGTACCTTGCTCGTGTTTACTCGAACATTCTGGATATTTCTTTGCTAATTTAAATATGTAGGCGCTGCAAGATGCGATCAGAGTAGACTTGAACTCGGCGACACAAG